CTCTCCTCCTCCTCCTCCTCCTCCTCCTCCTTCTCCCCTCCCCCTCCTCAGGCATGCCCTCCTTGGCTCATTCTCCGCTTACAACACCTCTGCTTACTTACACCACTGCCTCCACCACCTCTTCGCCTTCTCATCAACCTCCGCCTCCACCAACGCTGCCACCTCCTCCTTCACCTCATCCCTCCCCCCTTTTTCTATTCTATGTCCGTCCTTCTTCTCATCCTCTCCCTCTTCTCCTCCTCTTCTTCCTTCTCCTCTTCCTCTCGCCCTCCTTTTCCCCCTTTCCCTCCCTCCGGCTCACTTTGTTTCCTCGCCCACGTCCGCCTCCAGCGACAAGTACAGCATCGTTCCGACGCCCGCGTCCTGCAGCCGATCGACCGTCTTGCGGATCTCCGCCTGGCTCTCTCCGGCGACGAACTGTCCGTAGAACGTCGGTCGCATGACGGCGGCAAACAGACGCCGCCCGAGAACCTTCTGTCCGAAGCGCATCATCTGAACATGAAGTCAACACGTGGCGTCACGATGACGTCACAGCGACGCGCGTCCGCCACAATATATGACGTCACAGCAAGCGCGCGTCTGCCGCAATGACGTCACAGCGAGCGCGCTTCTGCCGCAATAACGTCACAGCGAGCGCGCCTCCGCGGCAATGACGTCACAGCGAGCGCGCGTCTTCGACAATGACGTCACAGCAAACGCGCAAATTATAATGGCGTTGATGAAGTAACCGCGCCCATGTCAATTACGTCACACCAACGCGTGGTGATGACGTCACGACGCTCTCGTAACAATGGCGTTACTGGCAATTACGCTGACGATGTGAATAAGAGTGCGATGACGTCACTACATTTACCGCCGAGGCCACGTAACCCGCGTTTCTGACCAATAGGAGGAGAGCTGTGAGAACTGGAGACTTCAGTATGTAGCAATTTTTCTAATCTCGGAATTTCATGGTGAGTTACATGTCTTGAGAATTTAGTAAAGGTTTGGTGGGCACAACGTATCTTTATGTGGTTTTTACACCGATCGGCGCAAATTTAGAATTTCCCAGCCTCCATCACCAATAATGCGTATTTTGGTCTCTGATCATGAGAGCTGACTGTACAAAAAGACAATAACCTGGGGCGCAACGATAGAGAGAAAAAACATTGTGGCTCTTGGCGACATATTTAGTAAACCGTGTCAGAAGGCGGTAAGTATGTCAGTGGAGGCCTTTCATTTGGCACGTACACATGTGTGTGCAAGCGTTCTAATGAAGAAAGGGTCCGAATACCTAGCGAAACGGCTATGAAAGTTAAAAACGCGTGAAAAATACGGGTTAAATTTGTCGTTATTTTATCAATTTACACGCTGTTATTGACACCAAAGATGACAACGCGGTATATAAGGACCCAATCGAGTCGTGGTACTCGCTATGCTCATATCAATGTTTGATAAGGTATGTTATATTGGACGCACTAACGCATAGTAATGCTGAGGGGTGTGTCATATTTTCATTTACTATCAACCTCTATACTGACACTGATGTTTCATAATGTATGTTAAACGGAATCTAATGTTTCATAGTAATGCTGAGGGGTGTGTCATATATTTATCTACTATCATCCGCTATATACTGACACTGATGTTTCATAATGTATGTTAAACGGAATCTAATGTTTCATAGTAATGCTGAGGGGTATGTTATATATTTATCTACTATCATCCGCTATACTGACACTGATGTTTCATAATATGTGTTAAACGGAATCTAATGTTTCATAGTAATGCTGAGGGGTGTGTCATATATTTATCTACTATCATCGGCTATACTGACACTGATGTTTCATAAGGTATGTTAAATGGAATCTAATTTTTATTTGTAATGGTTAGGTGTATGTTACATATATGCACTTACAAATCATCCGCTATACTCACGCTCAGACTGTGGGTGACGAACAGCGGCACTGAGCACAGCTTCAGCACCAGCGAACCACGCGCGATCTCCCACGTCGTCTTACTTCGCAGCGCCGCCCTCGTGTCCGAGAAATCAACAATCGGTACCGACCGTGCTCCGTCGGCATCCGCCAAGCCGCCGACGTTCTGCCATTTCGGCCCCGTCGACGTACCGATGGCCCTCGGTGTCGGCAGCCGACGCAGCGTGTTGTCGCGGATGAGTGTCGACGCTAAGAGCCGGAATGTCATAGCGTGCGTGAGTGCGGCGTGCGTTCGGTAGTCGGTATGCCCAACGTCAACTTAGACGCTAACTTAGTTCACCTGATGTCTTCGTGAGCGTTTTTTGGCGTCCGCGTACGACTCGGTGCGCTCATGCGTCGCGCGACGAAATGACGACAGTCTAGAGGTAACGCAGAGGTGCCGCGAGCCCTCAAGCTGTGATGCGCAGAGAAGCGCTCGGCATGCATAACAGAACAGCGTATGTTTTACGTGCGTATGTGCAACTAACTGTACGATAAGGTCATATTATTCTATCGTTGCTGGTCAGTGTGGACGTGGAGCCGTGTTAGTACGTGTTAGTACGTTACACGTACACGGCAGAGCCTGATCGGTGGCGCTCTCTGGCGGCTATCATTTCTGGTACCTCTATCTTCTTCGCCTTCGCGTACGTAATACGTATACGCTGCAAGCTCACGCGTTTAACTGGAACCGATTTGCGTTTGTGTTTTATTAGAAGTTAGGGTGGCTACATTCAAGACTGCAGTACTGTGACTGTTTTTTAAAACTTTGATCGTGAAAATGTTCCTCCCATCTTCTCCCTTTCTCTCCCTCTTTCTTTCTCTCTGTCTCTCGCTCTTACTAATGCGTCTTTTCCATACTTCCTGTCTTTATTTCTCTTGCTCTCTCTCTCTCTTGCTCGCCCGTTCCTTTTCTCCGTCCGTCTGCCTTAAGCTCGCTTTTAACGCGCAATTTGTACATCCTTATAACATTGCGTATTGTATCGGATGTCATACAGACTAAGTGCAGCAGACTACTTATCGACCGGTCGTGAAAAGCACATGCGATACGTCTGAATACGTGAAATGGAAAAACCGTGTCATTCTCGGCGCAAGAGAAGTTCCTGATGACGACGAATCTACAGAAACCTAAATTATTATCAAGAGCGTATAAAGAATGCTTATTATACGCTCTTGTTGTTATCGTATTGATGAATAATTGGGCTTTGTCATATTGTCCGCAGAACAATATATTTGCGCGAGAGAAAGAGAAAGCTAATAAAAGATTAAAAATAGAAAAAAGAAGAAGAAAACGCTCGCGAGAGAGAAACACTCAGGTGCGTGTGTGTGTGTGTGTGTGTGTGTGTGTGTGTGTGTGTGTGTGTGTGCGTGTGTGCGCGCGCGCGCGCGCGCGCGCGCGTGTGTGTGTGTGTGTGTGTGTGTGTGTGTGTGTGTCTGCGCGTGTGCGCGTGCGCGCGCGCGCGCGCGCGCGTGTGTGTGTGTGTGTGTGTGTGTGTGTTAGAAAAAGGATGTGACGTGTTATCGATAGAATTGCACCAATAATACCAGGAGTTAATAAAGACAAACTTTATATTACCTAAATGATAACTGATATTACCTATATAGATGCGCTGGATGCGGTGACGATGGCGGTGGTCGGTCGAATGACAACGGGCATGTGCGTCTTTCCAACATGTTCTGCTAGCATCTATGACAAATACGATATACGCATATACGCTCTCCCATGGCACCATTTGTCATAGGAAGATTCTTCCTATGACAAATATTGGCGAGTCAACTTCGTTCCGCTTTACAGCTGAAATTCACTGCTTGCGTTCATAATAGCGCTCCTAAACTCCTATGATGCGCACAACACATACAACAATATTTGTCATAGGAAGAATTTTCCTATGACAAATAGCGTCATAGGAGAGCGTATATCCGTATGTCGTATTTGTCATAGATGCTAGCAGAACAGGCTGGTCATTCGTACTGCCGAGTTGTGCAAGCTACTGGCTGGTCGTGGCTGGCTAGCTTGACTCGTTCTCTTTGCGCAGAGCGAAATACTAGAACCAGTATAGGCTTAATACAGCACTGGTGAGATATGTTATAATCTTGTGATTGGTTGCACAGCATTCAGTGTTCTAATTAGTCGAGTTTGGATTAGACTGGGCCAAAGGTTACCAGTCCCAGCAGCTTTGAGAATGCGAATCAGGACACCTCATCATTAACGAGTTGTCGAGACATGATTGCTGTTACGCGAATCCCTGAGATTGGTGGGGAACATAGCGAGCTAACAAAATCTGGCAATACATGCAAGCATTTATTGGTGATATTCGCGCGGGAAGCTACGGCTAGTACGCATTCCCGACTACACAACATAGTATACGCCATAATATCCAAGACGAGTTAGAGTACAAACGATGATTTCTTTTATTTACCACGACTGGAGCATATGTTACAATACACTAACTGATATAAACGAACGCAGCGTCTACACGTATACATTTACACGCTGGTCGTCACATACAAATTAAGATACGTACATCCGAGCGCTCGCACCCACGCACATATAGGGAAAAATATGAGGAGAGTGAGAGCTAGAGAAAGGTAGGGAGAGAAAGAAAGAGCGCGCGCGAGAGAGAGAGATAGAGAGAGCGAGAGCGGGAGAGAGAGAGAGAGAGAAAGAGAGAGAGAGAGAGAGAGAGAGAGAGAGAGAGGAGAGAGAGAGAGAGAGTAGAGTAGAGAGAGAGAGAGAGCGAGAAAGAGAAAGACAGACAGAGAGAGAGAAGAGAGCAGAAGAAGAGAGAGAGAGAGGAAAGAGAGAGACAGAGAGAGAGGAGAGAGAGAAGGGAGAAGAGAGAGAGAGGTAGAGAGAGTGCGCGAGAGGGAGAGCGAGAGAGAGAGAGAGAGAAGAGAGAGAGAGAGAGAAGAGAGAGAAGGAGCCGGAGAGAGAGAGAGAGAGAGCTAGAGAGAGAAAGAATATTTCGGTCAAACATAAAATAATCATATTATAATAATTACGGGGTTACATCTGTAGAATTAAATGGTAAATGTCGTTATATATAATAAAACACAGTATTCGTAACGAAGGTTTGGCGGTTTCCCTACAAACGCAGGCAGTTTAAGTGACTAGAGACAGTGACAGCCTCTCCAGCTACCACAGAAATCATCATCCCAGAGACAGGAAAATAGATAGAAACACCCAAATCGATTAGAAAAATATAGAATGCAGATGTGTTACACATACATGAATTTACTGTGTAAATTTACTATATAACATTAGGCCTACCACATGAATATACTACAGCATTATGTAGCATTAACGAATGTCCTGGTGGCTGGTTCTATCAACTTAGCGCGCGCACTAGATGCGACGTTATTTTATTAGTAGGCCTACGGCGTTTCTATTCAGTAGCTATATCGACCTACGAACGTAACGTAGCTCTCTACCTATGTAGGCAGATAAGGTCTATGTCTCCCTGGGTACTGCCGGAACGTACCCTGGGTACGGTCCGGTATACCGGAACGTAGGCCTACCCTGGTAACTATCTGATATGGTTAGGGTTAGGGTTAAGGTTAGGATTAGGGTTAGGGTTAGGGTTAGGGTTATGGTTAGGGTTAGTGTTAGTGTTAGGAAGTAGGCGTAGGCGACTCCCTAGACTCGTTAGTGGAGTAGGCGAGGTACGGTCCGGCATATCAGATAGTTACCAGGGTACGTTCCGGCAGTACCCAGGGAGACATAGACCCTATCAGCGCTATGTAGCTCTGTAGCTGAGCTTAAAGCTACATAGTCAGAGCTGTCACTGTCGCTATCACACCATGCTTACTAAACGTTCAAGTACTACTCGTATCAAGAATCAGGCACCGAGTAAGAGACAGAAGTCGAAACACAAATGTCAAAAACACATATATCTTTACTATGCGAAGCGATCACAATGTCACTGTGACATGTTTCGTAACCTTGGCAACGACTGCGAGCACCGCCATGATAAAATCTAACGGCTGAGAGTGGCCACTCATCGAACACGTCATCACGCCGGCGGCCAACATTGGAACAATCAGCGCGCCAACGACAGGAGGAGCGGCGATGCGTGGCGCCGCGCTGCGGCCGACGGCGGCATTACCGACGTTACAGAGGCTCGTGTTGCAGCAGGATAGACAGCGATGCGTCGTGATGCCGTAGCCGCTCGTGCGACACCCAACGACGCACTCGTCTGCGCAGCCGCGCCGGATGTTGACAATGACCCCGTTGACCTCCACCCGCTCCACCTGAAGATTCCAGGGCAAAGCATATATTTGTTATTACCTCCGCCAGGGGCTTGGCGTGAGTGTTGGTTTGTGGGTTTGTGTGTTACCATGCACGTTTCAGTTCACTTCCGCTAGGTGCGCTGGCTGTAGACTTACAAACACGCAACCACAGGCTAAGGGGCAACCACAGTCCTCCCCCACCTGCACGCTCGCACTAATCCGGATCCAATTAATTATTTAATTAATTAATTAATTAATTAATTTTTCCACTTAATTAATTAATTAGTTAAAACTTGCACATTGAGAGAATTCAGCTGCCTTGGCGGAGGTCTGTGCTCTCCGAGTGCTCTAGTTTTAGTTTTGTTTTAGGTGAGTAGGGCTTATAGGGTCTATGTCCCCCAGGGTAGGTACTGCCGGAACGTACCCTGGTAACTATCTAGCTGATATGGTTAGGGTTAGGGTTAGGGTTAGAGTTAGGGTTAGGATTAGGGTTAGGGAGTAGGCGTAGGCGACTCCCTAGACTCGTTAGTGGAGTAGGCGAGGTACGGTCCGGCATACTAGATAGTAGTATTTAGTACCAGGGTACGTTCCGGTATACCGGACCGTCCCCAAGGCACGTTCCGCAGTACCCTGGGTGACATGGACCCTATCAGCGTGAGGCGGCCTGTCAATGCGTAGGCTACATTACAAAAGGTGCAACTAGTTGACTACCTAGGATAAATACACAAAAAGCACGTCGTAGCATTTGTACAGTAGTAAAATTAGTATATTGGCTTCGTGTGACAAATATCTATCAGGGCACCTGCGGCCATCGGCGCTGCCTCAAGGGTGGGTGTTAAAACAAATGCCGCCGTTCGTAGTAGAACGACACAATCGATACGCCGGCGCGTGTGTACATGCAGCGTGTGCGGGCATGCCTGCGTGCGGGTGTCTACCTCCGTGCGTGCGTAGGCCTACATTATAATGATAACATGTGAATTTACCTGGCAAAATCGGTAGGACTCTTGACATTGCACGTAGTGAGTGCTATTGAACAGTACTGGCTTCTGCAAGCACGCGCTGGCAGCGTTGTAGGCCTTCCTAAACGAATCCCGGCATTCCCAGCACAAAATGGCGTCCGTCGATGACGAAGGATACGGCGTCGAGTTGGATTTTTCTGCGTTAGCGTCTCCTGATTGCGCTAGAGCTACAGAGAACAACGTGCGCGGGGGGAGGGTGATAATCACATGATCATGAATACACGAAATATGATTACAGACAGTCTGATCAGAGTTAATAACTAATTAACAGGTCGATTTAAATAAATAGTAGTTTTTTTGGGCAAACCGACAACAAAATATTTTACGATAAATCGTGTTGATGTCACCGTGTCAGTGGCCTCACAAGGGGGTGGTGCGGAACGCACCGGGTGACACAATCAAAGGGTGGTTTTAATTTTGCTAGTTGTTTATGTCACTACTATTGCCATTACATTCAGTGATATACGGGAATTACAATTTGCGAGTAACATTAGTGCAAAGAGCATTACTAAGGATTCTGTATGGTCTGGTACGGGAGAAGGTCCATGCGGGTGACACCATGGGTTACCGCACCGTGTCACACCAACCCTAGTGACACGACTGCATCGTGTCACTATCACTGACATTGTCACAGTCTCTCCGATTGTCATCGTTTTTGTCTTTTCTCGCCGTCGCTATCATTGTTGAAGTACATCCATTGTTTACCGTTACTGTTATTGTCACCATGGCTGTCAATGTTGGCGTCACTGCCATAGCAACCGTCACTACCGATGTCACTACGTTCACCACGAACAACAATTCTATTGTATACCATACATCATCATATACCAATATTTAGTTCACCCGGCGTCCAATACTAATTTAAATACTCGTTATTTTTAAACGTTCAAATATGTTCTACTAACCGATCACGCAGTGCAGTATTAGCCAGTAGATGGAGCTGTACGTTGAGGGAGACATCTTTACGCAGCTACTGTGACGTAATTACGGCTGAGCGAGACCGACAGTCCGAGACCATGCCCACGTGCTTGCTGCTGTTGTGGAAAGAGTAGAAACACACACACATGCATGCACGTTAGCTGCAACCCTGTCTCCAAGACCCGGATTCGTGCGAGAGCGGCGATTTATTAGAATCATTGGTGAACGTTCGCGTCGAACATGTAGTTTGTTTGTCGTCGGCGAAGTGATTATGTGCGTGGTTAATGTTATTTCCACCATCAACAATGTTATCTGTTACACTGCCAGAGTGTAAGTATAAACTCTGTCGTATACGAATGATGCCTCCAGGAGACTCTGCGAGTCACGTTGAAAACCAATCGACTGACCAAACAATAAGACGATATCCGTTTACATCTACCCATGTAGCCCTCCACTAAGGCGGATCAAAAGGCTACATAGGTAGAAGTAATATTCATAGAACATTTTGTCCCCTTTCTCCATTTCCTCCCGTGCCGTTCCATGCGTTAGCTTATTACTTGATCGGATATAGTTTGAGCGGCTCTCGTCGAGTACTACTGGTTATATACAATACAAATGCTAGCGTCATATATAACCACACCTCTAGTCAGCCTGTCGGCGCAACAATCTTCAAGGAAATAGATGCGAGTAACAACGTTGAACGTTAGTAATGCATTAATAGATCTATTA